TTATAATTAACGAAGTGCAGTGGTTTATACGAGATCCAAATCAAACGTCATAAGGAAGCCTTGTGGACTCATCAAGGGCAACGCGTTCATCACACTCATGACGAGGAGGCACTAAATGACCTGCGCTAAACCTGGCGAGAAAAAAACAGTCTTGAATAACGTAAAGACAAGGACGAGATATTGAACAGCAACAGAGACGAAGACGGGATTGCTGAACAGCAACAGAGACGAAGACGGAATTGCTGAACAGACGGAATATGTGAAGAGCAACCGAGGACAAGAACGAGATAAGTTAACAGCAACTAAAAACGAAAACAGGATAGATGGAATTGCAATATTATGAGAAGAAAACATGGTCTTGGTCGCAGCAGCGATGGGAAAATTATGGCCCATGTTTCTTTAGTCTGAGATGACAGTGGCCAATACGAATGAAAAGAGGTGGAAATAATGTTCAATTTTGCAATATTCTGATGTTAAATAAAATTTTATGATGCGAATCACTCTTTAATAGCGTGTGCTTGAAATGAATACTGCTCTCAAAGAAATCAATGAGACATATTTTAAAAATATAGCCATATTAATAATAATAGCCGTATTATTAATATAATAGCCATATTAAAATAGCCATATTTTTATGGCTATTTTAATAATAGCCATATTAAATAGCCATATAATTTAATAATAGCCATATTAAATTAGCCATATTTTTATTGCCCTCCAGTGAGTTATACTGATCTACTTTGACCAGGCAAAAGGACGTAGGAGAGCTACGTACAGAAAGTATGTCACCTTTAGGACAACATGACACAATCATTCTTCTGAGTTTGACATTAAGTAAAATAATACGGAGGCAAACAACTGTCAGCTATACAAGACCAGGGCCCATACTTTCAAAAAAAGTTAAGAGATCGTAAGTTCATCAGCCAATCATTGACGGCCTTTCAAGCCACTCTTTTAAAAACAGTTAAGAGATCGTAAGTTCATCAGCCAATCATTGACGGCCTTTCAAGCAAAATCCACCAATCACAGACAAGAAAATAGAGCGTGAGTACAAACGTTTACTTAGTGAATTTTGAAAGTATGGCCCGGGTCAAGTTATGAGAAGTTGTCTACTTCGAATCCAACTTAGCCAGTGAAGTTAGTACCAGCAAACTTGTCGCCAATTCTATGATATTACATTCTATGAGAGGATTTATTGCAACTTTCAATGTCAAAAATGTCCCTCATTTCAATTAGAGTTCAGAGTCCTGGACTCTGAATTACGATCTAATATCTTGATGAATATATTAGGATCATTACATCCCAACAAATAAGCTCGTATTTATGATTGTTATCATTTTCATAACATGCATGTAAACTAAATTACACTCATCATGATAAGTCGTGTACTACATTAAACAAAATAACTTTTCCTTGTGGATTGTTACTATAATATAAATCTTTCCTTTCAATTCTACCACAAGAAAAAGCTGAAAAAAATTTCAAAATTTAATAAAAGTACATAACGATTCCCAGAACACAATCTTTTCAGCTCTGCGAGGTACACAATGCGAGGGAGGGCAAGGCACAGGTATATCCGCTCAAATTACAAAGATCGTCGGTAATTTGGGTTGACTTGGACCATTTTCAGCGCTTAATTTTTGTGATACAAATATTCATATAGCGACTATATAAACTGTCTATTTGTTGCATTTGTAGGTTATGTCATGGTACTTCATGAGCCATCAACACAATTTTTCTAAAGCAAGAAATTTTCGAGTTATAAGCTTAAATGTCGAAACACCCCAAGTAACCCCTCAGTGGTCCCAGTCACACCGTCAGAACGTATTCGAAAATAATGATGTCAAAATTTGGTGAAAATTATGAGGCTTAAAATTATATATCGGGACTGAGTATCATTAGTAGGCAAACGTAAAAAAACAGTGAGCAGCACAAAAGTGACAAAAATCTACAACTAAAGCTGAAAATCTATAACAAAAACAACTTAACTTGGGATTTACAGAATTTTCAAACTTCAATAAATAATGAAAATATTAAACGACTAATTTTAGGTCATAACACCGAAAGCACCGTCACGAAATAGAGATAATATAATATATGAATATCACTGTAAAATTTAAACATTACATTAAACGTTGCTGTGAAATTTACTACATTACAACCGATAAAATAACCAAATAACTGACAGTTGTGATTACTTCACTACAATCAGTCACTCATACCGTCTACTTTTTGCGCTAATAATTGCAACCACGAATCCAAAATATTAATAGCATTTTAAAACAAGGTGAAGGCGCCTAACTTTTGAAATTTTTGGCAGTTTAATGATCACCAAAACGTTGATGGAGAAACGCGTATAGGACTTCTGTCCCCTCCTTTCACCTGTCACTTCGTAATTCGCGCTCCTATAGGGGGATTGTTCCTGAGCGCCCCACCGCTAAGCGCGCGGTGTCTGACTGCAGGTCTCAGTTGTGGAGTTATTAAGTAGGTAGGATTCTTTACATTTCCTTATTATTAGTTATTATGTAGATAGGATTCTTTACATTTTCTTTCTCTGTCTATCTCGTGCGGGCGGCCGACGTCCCGTGTAAGCGACCTCTTGTTCAAGTGTCTTAATTTCTGTTGCTTTTCACCTGTCCCTCCTTGTCACTTCGTCTCTTTGAGATGTTAACGCTGCTTCTTTCGCGCCAGCATCAATGGGCTGTACAATTGAAACCTCCCGCCCCATGAGGGTGATGATTAACTTGGGATTCTGAATAATTGAGATCTTCCACCTTGCTTGCGATGTTATATTTTGACCTCCGGTGTGAAATAGCTTGATTGCTGAAGCGCTAGCTCGCCATTCTACTACTCAGTACTTACTCATAATTTGCGTTTGAATAAATTGACTGGACTCAACTGGTGTTGATGCGCGGTAAATCTAAAAATAATGAATGAAAAGTCATTAATTATAAGAGATTGACTGACGGCATTTTAATTACGTTAAATTCTCTTTAACAGATGAATCGTTTCAATAATTTGCTTAAGGACTATGTATATGTTTTATATTTTTCATTTTTTTTTAGTCTTCTGTTTGGTCGGTTATACTCTTGTTAACGGTCTTTCAGTACAATACAATCCTAGTGAGTTTCAAGTAAACTGGCAACTCGTCACTTGCCAAGGCTGTCCCTGGCCGACAAAAACATTCTATCTTTTAGCGCATTTTCTCATTTATGGAAAAAATGCACTATTGTGCTCGCCATGTCCGTCTGTCTGTCAGTCTGTCCGTCTGTCCGTGACCTCAAGTTTTCGTCGACGAGAAAATGCGCTCTCTGTCACTCACTACTGTGAGTACTGAGTTATATTTTTTTAGTCTTCTGTTTGGTCGGCTATACTCTTGTTAACGGTCTTTCGGTACAATAAAATCATAGTGAGTTTCAAGTCGACGGCAACAGTATACCGGTAGTACCTTTGCTGATTCGCCTTGTCAACAATGACAGAACTTGACTTGCACCTGGTAAATCCTAATTCGTTCTATGCACGTAATGAAACAAAGGGTTGCAATAAAAGTTTTAAAAGCGTTAACTTTAATTAAAAACATTTGACGACATGCAAACTTCTATTAAAACTACTTAATGACGTAAAATTTCTTTATACGACAGCAAACACAAAAAAAAATATTACGATACGCATTCAGAACTCTAGTTAACGAAATATATCCTTTTACCAGGTCCTGTTATATAATTTCCGAAATACGTAAAAGTAGTTTAGTTGCAATTCTCGTCAAAAGTATGGAATAGACTTTTGCATTGATGTAAATTCAGCAGAATTTGAACTAGAAGGAAAATTAGCGAGTGTTGAATAATGTCCCGCCTGTAAAGGTTCTTGCACTTCATGGTTTGCTTGTCTTAACTTCCCCCAAGTAAATCAAAAAGTCGGAGACAAAATTAAAATGAGCTGAGCGTAGAGCACAGAATTGTGATTATTATTTAAATACAGCCTCAGTCAACTGAACCCGTTATAATTTTGCAGGCGGTTATTTGTTAAAGCTAGAAGCTAATATGTTCCGACATGATCTGATACAGTTTCCCGCAAGAGAAAAGCACCTTTTATGGCTAGCTGTGATATTCGTGGACTAAAACTGCGAACGAAATCCCAGTTAACAAATACCAATCCGTAAATTTAAACTAGAAATAGCTCAAAAATTCTCTAATAATAATGGAATAAGACTTCATCGTAGCACCGACCATTATAGAAGAGGCACCATAATTCCCTAATGTTCTGTCTTATAAACGAGGGACCAAGAAAGCAATGCTAGCATGAAAGAATTTGACGCGTCAATGAGGAAGATTCCAACACGGTCAGATACACATTATCAAATTCCAGTTCCTGACTGGCAAGTATTTTTCAGCCTTACTTTATACGTACTTCAGATTGTCGCTGATCTCGTAGCACCAGAATTGTCATGGTATTATATCACTATAGAACAATAAAGCTACTGATTTTTGAATACTCTATTTTGGACCTCACTTTCATGTGTCCATGCGAATGAGGTCATCCGTGTGATCATTTTAATTAATCATACGAGAATCATGGTACTAAAACAGCTATTAAATTTTCACGAATCTCATCAGATAAGATTTAGTATAATATCTAGACACGATATACGAGGCTTTCAGAATACAAAGGCATACACTCAAGCACGAGATGATGAGGCATGTCATCAAGATTGGCTTTAGGATAACGTACTTGCCGAAAGTTACGAAAGTCATTATAAAATTGAATGAAAAAATTTAAACCCCAAACCATTTGAGAAACTTTCGGATTATTTCCGTAAAAACATTCATACATAAAAATTCTACTGCCACATACAGCCTTAAAAAAAAACAATTGCCACGTCACCACTTGGAATTGTCAAAAAATATAACTCAGTACTCACTGCAGTGAGTGACAGAGAGCGCATTTTCTCGTCGACGAAAACTTGAGGTCACGGACGGACGGACAGACAGACAGACGGACATGGCGAGCACAATAGTGCATTTTTTCCATAAATGAGAAAATGCGCTAAAAAACCACTGATTTAGGAAACACGTGACCTCAAAGATTCTGAAACATGTAAGGACCCTCTGATTGGAATATCTAAAGTAATGTGCAGTCGCAAGGTGTCTGTTTCCCACATAAGATCATCAGGAGGATATTTTGACAGCCTCGGGAAGAACAGTCACGAGGATGCAGCATATTGTGCCAGAGCAGGAATACGTCCTATAATTTATATAGCATCACATGAATCCTTATTGAATTTACTGGACATTTCACCTTCATACACAATGGCTACCCATTCCGAGTTCCTCAGTAACCGCGTGGGGGATGTTCGAATAGTCTGATTTGTAAATGAAGAAGAAAAATATGTGAGAAAAATAGCCTACCATTTGAATTTCACGGTGCGGCGCTGGGAGTAGGTAAGTGGAGTAGAACATCTATTGCCCCTAATATTGCCTAAGTCCCCCAAAGTGTTCGCATAGCACCTGGAAGGTTTTCGCGGATCGAAAGTTGGAAAACATTGTTCTAGAAGAACTCAGAAAGAGCGTGATACGAAGAGCCGAGAAAAGTTTTATCACATAGGATGCTCCAGAAGAGTCAGCTGCACATCACACGAGAGGGCCCAAGAGGAGTCAGCTGCACATCACACGAGAGAGCCCAAGAGGAGTCAGCTGCACATCACACGAGAGGGCCCCAGAAGAGTCAGCTGCGCATCACACGAGAGGGCCCAAGAGGAGTCAGCTGCACATCACACGAGAGGGCCTCTGAAGATTCAGCTCCACATCACACGAGAAGGCCCCTGAAGAGTCAGCTGCTCATCACACTAGAGGGCCCCTGAAGAGTCAGCTGCACATCACACGAGAGGGCCCCAGAAAAGTTTGCTTGGCCTCGTCTCGTCTTCGCTCAGGAAGAAATCTCGGCCGAGTTTGACGAACTCCTGAAGACTGAGCTTGCCGTCGCTGTTGATGTCGATGGCCTGGAAGGCGGCGGCCGCGGCCTGCACGACAGTTTACGGTCGGTTTACAATAACACAGGGTAACAGTTGAAGCAAAATCTTCGACATGCTTCGTCTTTTTTGTGATTGTGCACAAAATTATCAAAAATGAACGATTGATGATGGATGGTCGACACTAGTGAAAGTTTTTTGTTAATAAGGTTTAACAGTTATAGACAAGATATCATGTAACATAACATGATAACAAATAATTCAACATTTTTGATAATTGCGATGGTTTTTGCGTCCCAAACGACAAGATTAATGACTTCAGATTCAGACATCATTAAAATATCGAGTTTTTAGTCAACCTCACCTCCTCGGTGAGGCCGAGGCACTTGAAGTAAAGCTTGAACTCGTCGATAGAAATTTCCCCACTACCATCGTGGTCCACCGCCTGCAAGACAAGAAGATCTTCAATGACTAGAAAGGTGCAGTTCTATGATAGTTCAATGACTAGAGAGGTACAGAGAGGTACATCACACTTCATCGGAAAGAATGTCATTACCGTGATTTTATAGAAGATTTCGAAACACGAAATTAATTTCAGACCCAACTCGTTAAATGTTGAATTGGTGTTTTATGATTTACGAAAACTTTAGGTAGACTTCGGATGTTGTTTTTATAGGAAGACTTCGGTTTATGTCCAGCTACAGATGGCATCACTGGACGAATAAGCGATATATTGCAAGCCAGTAGAAAGCTGGACAAGTTCATACCTAATAAATATCAGAAAAAAATCATTGCTGCTCCTTGAAATTCAAATGAGTCCAAAATGACTTTATCTATGAATCTTTCTTTATTCGAAATCTAGGCCTCAAGCTAATGCACGGGCTTTCTACATTGCCAAATTGAAGACATGCTAGCCAGTGCAGTTAACTGTCATACGGTAGGTATATCTTTTCCATCTTAACTCTTATCGGGTCTGGTGAGATACGAAGTGGAAACAACTCACGATAATATTTTTTATAATTTTCCCATTATTTCACCAATAATTAAATGGTATTTTTTGTGAACGGATATCTTGCGCTTCGATGCGCAAGAACATTACGACATTCATCACCAGTTGTATTAGGAATTGTATTAATGATGACATTGATTGATCCACATTCTTTTAAGAGAACAGATTCGTTCGCATATGATATAATAATTGAGTAATAATTCACAAATTAAGGAAGCTACTAACTAAGCTATTGAGGCTTCTATATGCAAGACAGCTCTATATGCACTGTTAGAAAAATGACCGTTAACGGTATTACCGGCATTTCAGTGGCCGGTCGGCACGTGAAAAGAAACACCGTTTCACCGTTTTTATTCCAATTTAACACCAGAAATCCGTAAAACATCTGATAAAAGCGTCGAAACAGTTTATTTTCACGGGGCGACCGGCCACTAGGATGCCGGTGGGACCGTTTTTTTACCGTTTTTTTCTAACAGTGTGTTATTGAGCAGCATGCCGACATGGCAGTGCACTGCATCTGTGAACTGTCATCTTGGTCCTGAGATGCGACGACAGCTCCACACAAACCTGACTTATGAGCAATAAAACATAAATCTTATGATCTGGCGCAAGTCAGATCAGTTAAAGGCGTTTGATCTGTTTGATCTGGGAGGCTGGCGTTGTTGAAAGGATTTAGTACCATGAACGGACATCGTTAACATCTCATTACACGGTTATCTTATCTACCGATCGTTCGGCATCTCATCGTTCGCGATAGTGGCTCGAGCTGCAATATCATAGCTTCGATATTGAGTTGAGCTGCAACATAATAGCCTCGTTATCAATATGAGCATACACAATAAATTGTGAATTACGTGCTGTGTTAATTATTGAAGGTTTACTGCACCTGGAAAAAGTATGGCAAGGGCCTGGCGATCTTCTTCCTGAGTTCATCGGAGTTGACAGCGCGCTCCATGTTCGCGATGAACTGCTCCTGACCGATGAAGGCGTACGGGTCGCCAGACGCGCCCCACTCCTCCTCCCAAACATGCTGAGGTAAAACGTCAAGTTAGTCAACAATTTCAATTTATATACTTTAATAGTCATTAATGTGCACTTTTAAAAATTATCAATGTGTGCTTTTCAAAATTATCATGTAAAAGTATTTATTTAAAAACACGTAGACATGTCATGTCTGCGTTACCGGTCAGGAGAATTTGTAAATTTTAAGATACAAAACCACTGTCATAAAACTCTTTTTATTATGAAAACTTTCATGCAAGAAGCATGATACCCTGGCGATACAATACACTGGAGAAACAATGGAAGTACTCGCGTCTCACTTGCTTTTGTGCTGCGATAAATTTCTTCAAGAATTCTAAGTGAGTGATCTGGCATTAGCACCACAGTGCAATTATCTGGCTTCCATGGGCCTTGCATGGCTGTATTGCGGAGCTTTTCGAGTGTACTTAATTGGCCAGGATTAGGATTTGTGCTCCTTATCTATGACGTTAGTTGATGGGTTTATTATTTTAAAGTTGATGGGTTTTAATATTGTTAAGTTGATGGGTTTTATTATTGTTAAGTTGATGGGTTTTATTATTGTTAAGTTGATGCGCTTTATTATTGTTAGTATTGTTGAAGAGAGGAGGAAGAGGTGAACCTGATGTCGTTCATGCGACTGCAGGTTCGTGTCAGCATTGGGCCAAAGTTATTTGAAGTGGAGATTGCTAGTGTATTAGAAACAAATGAACAAAAAAAGAATAAAAATAACATGTAAGTTCAGTCCTTTGCATTACTATAAGGAAATTTTTTACGTGATTATAAATTAAATTGCCTAAGCTTTTTATCTTTGCTTGCTTCGTGTTTATCATTTTTTCAGTTGTGTTGTGTTCAAATAACGTAATGAATGCCGTACGTGAGAGGCAAGCACTCGACCATCGGTAAATAGGATCTGATTTGGGAAGGAACTTTTTTATTGTCACAGACCACTATAACTCGGCGACGTGGTACGGAGTGCTACAATTTCAAATTGTTTCAGCACATTTGAAGTCAAATGTTGTAGTTTCATCATTTGGCGATACGCCCTCTTCTTTTTCTATTGATTGAGGCTTTTTCGATTATAGAGACTGAGCGATATTCAGAATTAATTTTTATAAATATTCATTAATCATTAAGTGATTCTTTTCAATATAGTAAGAAATTATTAACATATCAGAATTAAGAACTAAGCCAAATGTGACAATTTCCTTGTATGCCTTAATTTTATAAATGCGAAATTTCAAAGTAAGAAAGAGTCTCCGCAAGACGTTCACAGACACGAACAGTCATTTGCTGCGGTGCTTGCATTCCAATTTTTGCGCGCGTGGATACTGCTAACTTGGCCATCGAATACCAGGCGCTTTCTTCTCATTAAAGACTTGTTGAAATCATATTTTGGTACTATTCTCCCTGTTTTGATGTGACTAGATTATGCACTGAAACTCGTCATATATCAAAGGCTTTTGCACTGGATGCCAGTCATGCGGCACGCGAAGCAATACTAACGACGCCCAAACCCGTAAGGCGCAGACACTCATCACCTCAATAATAATAATAATAATAAGGCCGTAGGCCTGTCGCCGATTCTTAACATCGCAGAACATTCACAGCATTTTGCGGTATCGAACTCGCAACTCACTGCTACAATTCTGCTTTTTTTTAACCGCCCGGCCTCCTTCCCGACTCTGACCAGAAACTGGCGCACAGAGCTGGGATCGAACCCGCGCCTCTCTGCGTCAATCTTGGTACTCTGAACTTTAACCACTGGGCCACCCTGCCCAGTAAAATGTTGTTGACTTGTTGAAGTTACATTTCTCTCTGTTCTGATGTGACTAGATTATCCACTGAAACTCGTCATATATCAAAGGCTTTTGCACTGGATGCCAGTCATGCGGCACGCGAAGCAATACTAACGGCGCCCAAACCCGTACGGCGCGGAGACTTATCACCTTGACAGCCTCCTCAAAGCTCTGTTTCTGCTCGTCCTTGAGGAGCCCCGTCTCGTTGAAGCGTTTGATCATTTGCTCGAAGTCGTCCCAGCTGACGACGCCGTCTTTGTTCACGTCCATGGCGACGTGGTGAGTACGCATCTTGCGCAGCCAGAACTCCGACTGGCCCTAAGTCACAAGCTTCAAATTACCATTTTATTATTCAGACCTTAATACTACACTAAAGTTACATCTGAATTGTCGTACATTAATAAAATTGTATTTTACATTTATAAACGATGTCCGAAAAATATGTATTAGATCAATCACTTACAGTATGTAATAGAAGGTTATAAACTCCCACCTATTTTATAACTATATTATAATATACTATTATATTATAAACTATATGTCTATATTATATTATTCATTATATTATACTCACCCTTCGCCCTTTCTTGGGCTTTTTCTTCTTCTTTTCTGAATCGGAATCAGAGTCTGAGGAGCTGCCGCTGTCATACCTCTTTCCGCCTTTCTTGCTTCCATAATAGCGCTTTATCTGCCAAACATTAAAACAATGTATCATTGCAATCAAAAGTACTTACATAAAGTTGTGGTGAAAATATTGATCTGATATTATATATTATACTAAATATATAATATATAATGGTGAAGATAAAGAATGCTCGTGACTCTGTATGGTAAGCGGCGTAAAAAATAAAATCTCGAGATTTTATGGCGGCAGCAAAAGGTGCGGCCATGGTTCTAGCATTCATCTTACAACAATTCTTATCTAAGAGCTTAGACTTAGATCATGCACGTATTTATAGACTCCGTTCATTTCTACAGTGATCTGAAATTGCAGAATCAAAACTCGCAATTTGAAACTGACAAATATCACGAAAAGAAATGTATTTCTTCATCGTCCCACGCTACGATGAGCGTTCCATGCTTTCGATGTGAGGCTCGTATATCTAGCTAACCGACCGCACCTCTTGGCCCGGCTAGGTTCTGTACACCAAACCAGCATACCAAGGTCAAACCGATTCCGGGCCTGGAGTACAACGCACAGCGTATGAATATGGGAACGCAAGCCTGACTTTTTTTTAGATGATTTTTATATGAGTTTAACTGCTAATTCTCATTATTCTGTTTTACTCGGCGCATTTAACGGAATACATCACAGGAGTAGCAATGATTATTAAAAAAACTGCGTTGTAACACATCCATGCGACAACATTTCTTCTCGCTTCGAGTCACCGACATGTGGAACAGCCTCCCTGATAGCATCGTTGACGCTCCGAGTATGAATGCCTTCAAGAACAGACTAAACGAAGCTATGCAGGAGCATATGTTCAGTCTTAAAATGCCTAGCAAATTACGGACCAGGCAATAAGCCCAGCAGCTATCTCAATCAATCGTCAGCTAAGGAAAGATCGCGTTCAGAAGGCCGGATCCCTTGTGAATCAACAGGCCATGGGCCTATTTCTTTATTGAGCCTATCATTTTTATTTCTTTCATGGGCCTATTTCAGTGCCGAAACTTCTACTCTATTATTAAACGTAAGAACGACCGAGCTGCAAGTCATGGGCGTTTGCAGTCTCAGTCTCAGGTTTTGACATCGCGAGACTTCTTAATGTCATTCACACGTATCATTTGGTGCTGACTATTTGCACAGTAAATATTAGTACATTCATTCTAGAGGAAAATTATAGTTTACGAACGTTTATGGAATCTTAAATGGCATATTTCTAAATTAGATAGGCGTTGAATAAACGAACTGTTAATTGTAGGTTCTTGGTATCAAGGTTCATGTTGCCTTCTCCATACGCTAGGGTACAATACATTGTTAATCTTAAACGCAAGCGTGCTATACAGTGTTACTCGTACACGTTAGCGTACAGTACAGTTTTAATCGCACACGCTAGAGTACAATACAGTATTACTCAGAAATGCTGGCGCACGATACAGCATATATCGGACATGATAGCGTACGATAAAGCTGTAATCGTATACGCTAGATATATTATAATACAGCATTAATCGGAAACTAAAGTGAGCCTAATAGTACAAATCGGACAAGCTAGCGTACAATGCAGTATTATTCGTACACGCTAACGTATAGTCGTGTTCCAGGGCAGCTGCAAGTACACCTGCAGTGACCACAGATGTCGCGTTACTGTATTTTATACTCAGTTCGCTATATAGGACCGTTAACACATCCCGCTACCGAGCAAATAAAGAATTTGAATGTCATGCAATCATTCCGTTCTCCATGTCATTCTGCTTCAGAGGCGTTCTAAAGTTTCATGATAATGGATGAGCGTTTTCTTTATGTATTAGGACTTTTATTTGAAATAGGAACGATGGTATGTTAGAAATTGCACACAAATCGATATTGCATGCAATGAGTAGGTAGAATACTGAGATACTTGATTGTTCACTTTTATTTTTTTGCAACCAGACATTATTTACTGTCGATTATTTACTATCGACAGTTTTGTAAGTAGTTAATATATAAAAAAATAATAACGAGTAAAGAAAACATTGAGAGGACAATAATGAATTTAAGTAATAAAATAGACCGATCAATGATATTATCTGGTTGATTATTTCGTCATCAGAATGAAAAAAATTGTCCCGTGTTCATTCAGTAAGCATGAAAATTAAACTTAAATTGAATAACAATCACGTACTATGCCTTGTTTGCATTATTGAATAGATAAAAAACTATATCAACCAATTGCGACTTCAAGGTGAAAATTTATTGTTAAAATAAAATATATTAAAGAGTAATTTCAACGGTAATTATAAATGTAGAGTGACTTAGAAAATGCAATCATGCTTGCTCTGCGAATGACTGGCAGACATGAGAAAAAAATATTTATACATAGCGAGATCTTCGTTCCTAGTGTGAGAGCAGTAAATAAACTCCTACAAATTCATTTATATTTTGAAAGTCACGTTTGATCCGAAAAATGAGCAAATTTACATGATGCCTTGCAAATTTTACTATGGAAACAATCATACTTGCTTGATGTCGAAAATTTCTCTCTGTTCATTCATGATTGGAATTAAGGTGCAGCCAATGATGCAAGTTATCAACCCTAAACTGTACAAGTCCTCCTCTCACAATAACAGAAGCTTTGTATAGGGGCTTGAACTCGACTGGCTGCATTTCTCTCACAGAGTTACTTACTTTGTTAACGTGAAGTATGGACAAGGTTTAACATGTTCGGGAAGTATGAAATGTCAAGGGTGATGATAATGGTAGAATGGTAGTGATAATAATGGTAGAAAGCTAACAAGGTCGGGAAGTATGGACAAGGTCGAACTGAGTTACTCAGTTTTTTAACTTGAAAGACAAGCTACGGGTGGCAGACTTTTTGGTCTGTAAAGACAGGATAACTTCTTAACCAAGATTATTTTCACTTAAGTATACGCGTACGTACCGTTCGAATGGATGGCCAGACTGCAATCGGGTTTGTATGTTTGGGGAAAACGAGATGAAGATGTGAGCCAGTAAATAAATAATTTTACTGTAGTTCGTATTATAAAATATTTGAATATATTTTGCCATGAAAGAGAACATGTTAATCAATACTAAACGATCGAACTACAATTAAATAACGAAATCTTTTTTACTTGGTAAATGCGATCAACATATGAAAACTACCGCATTATGTATGAAATTATTTTCAACGTGCTTGCACTTGAGTTTCTATGAATTTAATGCTTGCACAGGATCTGTCATAAAAATAAATAAGTCCGACAGGGCGACAGTTGAGCTCAAGTGCACAAGCAAAGCCAGGGTCGCATGAGTTGCGGCGGAGCAGTGAAGGCAGTCATTGAGTCAAACGACTGCACGATTACCATTCACCAAGCTTGGAGCTCGTGTGGTAAATACATAACCTCAAGCAAATGTTCAAACTGTTCGTCAATAGTATCGTTGAAGCTCCGAGTATGAACATCTTCAAGAACAGACTAGACGAAGCAATGCAGGAGCACATGTTCAGTCTTAAAATGCCTAGCAAATTACGGCCCGCAATAAGTCCAGCAGCTATCTCAATCAATCGTCAGTTATGGAAAGATCGGGTTCCAAAGGCCGGATCCCTTGTGAATCAAGTCACGAAAAGTTCAAGAATCGGCAACAGGCCATGGGCCTATTTCTTCAACGCCGACACTTCTATTCTATTCTATACCTTCAAGCGAACATAGGACTCACCAGCGCAGCTGTGGAGGCGTTCACTGGCAGAGCACAGCTCACTGGCAGCGCTGTACTGCACAGGCTGAGGCGGTGTGCGTGAAGTGCACTGCGCACCAGCAGCGCTGTACACGCGCGTGCTCCTATCGACATCGCGTAGGAAAATGCGTAAAATATGTTGTAAATTATCCGGAATAATTACACACGGTAACAAATAAATTCAGCAGCTGGAAGGTTGACGACAGAACCCGAACCTATTTGAGTTAAAACTGGAAAGAGAAATTTAAAAGTTAAACAAATTACCAACAATTTTTCAAAATGCACGGACACTACGATAAGACCAGACGACTACACTATTGAATGTTTGAATTTAGGTTCTAAGAGTAATTTTTTTAGAACAAATTAATTTGGTATATTGTGAATCAAATATCATTTCAACTAATGTCAAATGACAACTACAGCGATGTCTTATAAATATACATGGAAACTTCCCACCTCCCAAAAAATCATACGGACAGATTTAAATTATCAAACCTTGTCGTCAAAGGTTACAAATGAGCAAACACAGCGAATTTTTTTGAAGAAAATTCTAATCCCCCGATATCGTAACGACAAGCCTGAAGCCCGCGCTATCTTCCAGTAAGATGGTCTTTACATAGCATTAATTTAGACTCGCTGAAGTCTATTTAATGTCCGCTATCATTTAAAGTTTAGGTTGTGTTAATCCAACCTGCTTGACGGCTTAGTGTTTACGAATGTGACACTTTTTTACGTTGCCTGATCCTCGCTACGGAAGTTTCTGCCGTGCTGCTGAGTTACAGTATGAATAGTTTAATCCTTTGATGTACATATAATATGACTCTGAAAGTGGCGCACTTTGAATAAAAGTAAAACAGTTTGCACAGTCAATGTTTAGGGTTACAAATGAATACAGAATATTCTATGATTTGTACGAGTCGACATTATTTTTAGTTGAGTAGTAAGAGGTCCATGCGAAGTACATAATGATCGAGCAGGTGCAGCATAAAGTAAACCACAGATGAAGCTTATAATTGAGACACAAAAAAAATGCTCTAATACAAGACACGCATCGAGCAACATTCGAAACCGCATATTTACGGACACATTTTTATTTGCAATATGCGTGGAAGTCTGTAGTGCACTTAGAAAATCTTACATAGTATTATATTCAGAAAAGTTATTTGTAACTTTTTTAATATATGATATTATTTATACATTAAGTGATTATATATTGAATGTGACATCCATCTGCTGCAACTACGGTTTCTATATATATGCTCAGAGGAAAAGCTTGGTGCTGATGGCCGCATCTTACGCGCAACTCAGTCCATACTTTGTGATAAGGGAAGCCTTCTGACTCGCGGTTAGAAAACAACATACAGCAAGACTTTAACCCCGACTGGTAGAGTGTCACAACCTTATATGTAGCTTGAGTTTCAACACTGATATAACTTGCGTTAGCAATTTTATACTTCATGCTCAGTGTCACGCGACGAGTGTTAGCTGCACATTGCCAACACGACCTCCATATGTATGATACTGAACACCGGTCGCTGTACAATAAAGGAGCGGAAACAAACATAACGCATTAAGACTTCTAGGAATTAAATACAATTTCAGATTAGAGATAATTTTAATCTCGCGCTCAAACTTCCCACAAACAGTTCAGTGTTGTTACAGTTCGGTCTGATCATCACAGTCGTTGAAAATTAATGAACTTAATTTTCAAATATTTATTAACCTAACTACTTAACTATACAGTAGTGGTTCATCGATGTTATGAGTAAATGATAAATATTGAACAACCATAACTCATATTTTCACATTTACCGTTTACCACATTTAATTTTTTTACCGTATTGTATATTGAAATGAATCTAGGCGGCCTAGAACGCGGGAGTCGGTCCCAGACAGGCCACTGCATAAAGACCTCAAGACCAAAGTGTGCACTGGCCCTGCTCTGTTCAGATGTCAGGCATCGCATGCCAGTCTACTTAGGAGCGCACGAGGCAGTATTATATACTTACGTACACGAAAAATTACGTATTTACTACGCACGAAAAATTAATATATACTTGTAGAATATTTCACAGAGCAACGTGCGAATTGAATGCAAGTGAGTTTTTGCGAAACATCAAAACTATTTCAAACGGCTAGCACGATAAAAAAATTATAAAATAAATGCATAAATAACTGTTAATGATCATGAAGAACTTGCACTGTATTAAATGATTTTGCTTATCGTATAGCTTCTCGGAGATTTTTAATCGTCAACTGAAATTTAGTCATGAATGTAATGAAGTTGTTGAAGCTCACGACGGCCACAGGGATTAAAGCAAACTGATTAAATCATGTGATTAAATCACATGATTTTTTTATAAAAATCATGATTTTTTGATTTATTTTATTTTTTTATATATTTAAATATATTGAGTGTCAGTCTTTATCGTAGATTTTTAATCGTCAACTGAAATTTAGTCATGAATGTAATGAAGTTGTTGAAGCTCACGACGGCCACAGGGATTAAAATTAACTGATTAAATCACTTGATTTTTTTTATAAAAATCATGATTTTTTTATTTATTTTATTTTTTTATATATTTAAATATATTGAGTGTCAGTCTTTATCGTAGATTTTTAATCGTCAACTGAAATTTAGTCAAGAATGCAACAAAGTTGTTGAAGCTCACGGCGGCCACTGGGATTAAAATTAACTGATTAAATCACTTGATTTTTTTTATAAAAAATCATGATTTTTTGATTTATTTTATTTTTTATATATTTAAATATATTGAGTGTCAGTCTTTATCGTAGATTTTTAATCGTCAACTGAACTTTAGTCAAGAATGCAATGAAGTTGTTGAAGCTCACGGCGGCCACTGGGAGGTCAGTGACACGGAGTCAGGCAGGCAGGGCGCAACAAGGGAGAGCAGCAGCGCAGGCCTGCGCGACGCAGCGAAGAGAGGGAGACATACGTGCGTCCCGGCACGGACCTCTGGCGAGGACTCGGCACACGCGATCCTACAGTGTCATGTTACTTGTTGATAATACGGCACATACATAATTGATAATACACATTAATATATATGGCACGGACCTCTGGCGAGGACTCGGCACACGCGATCCTACAGTGTCATGTTGCTTGTTGATAATACGACGCACACCTAATTGATAATACACATTAATATATATTGCACGGACCTCTGGCGAGGACTCGTCACACGCGATCCTACAGCGTCATGTTGCTTGTTGATAATACGGTGCACACATAACTGATAATACACATTAATATACATATATGGCACGGACCTCTGGCGAGGACTCGGCACACGCGGTCCTACAGTGTCATGTTGCTTGTTGATAATACGGCGCACACATAATGGATAATACACATTAATATATATGGCACGGACCTCTGGCGAGGACTCGTCACACGCGATCCTACAGTGTCATGTTGCTTGTTGATGATACGGTGCATACATAATTGATAATACACATTAATATATATGGCACGGACCTCTGGCGAGGACTCGGCATACGCGATCCTACATTTTCCTTAGTTTCCCTAGTATTTGTTTGGGACGTAGCAGTCAGTGAACAGAAAATGTTGAGTATCATGTTACTTGTTGATAATACGGTGCACACATAACTGATAATACATATTAATATATATGTGCTATTGATGACCAGAGAATTCGTCATCTCTAGCGAGGACTCGGCACACGCGATCCTACAGTGTCATGTTGCTTGTTGATAATACGGTGCACACATAACTGATAATACATATTAATATATATGTGCGATTGATGGCCAGAGAATTCGTCATCTCTGGTCATTCTCTGGTCATCAATCGCACGTGTATAAACAAGTAAATTTTGCCATCTAATACTAATTAATATATACTTTGGCAGTTGATAATACACATTAATATAACTATGTTATATTAATGTGGAGTTTTTTCTAAGAAAGAGGTAAACACATTATCAAAATGAAGAAGAAGAAATTTGTGGATATTTTTGGCGGCAAGGTTTTGGTTGCGCACAAAGTTAAGGGAAATCTTTTGATACAAAGGATAGTTAAATGAGTAGTTCAGGCTAACATTAACTGTGATTGTGTATTCAATTTCCAGCCATTTGGTTCTAGCCCTGAATTTGCGTTTCACGTTTGTTAAAATCATTGATGGAGTTTTGAATAATTCATAAGAAAATATATAGCCTCGTTGAATTAAATTTTTGTAATATCAACGCTGATCATTTCTTGTCATCTTCCATGTTTGTATTTGTTTAAAAATACTAATAAGGAACTGAGTTAGCACCGACTGAGCAGTCATTTATGCGTACTTTTTTGTGCGCTTTTGTTCCAGAACTATTAATTATACCGCATCGAATGGAGGTGAGTGCAACATAGTTAGTCGTAAATTAATTAGTTTAACGAACTTGTTTAAATGGATGAACTCGCTTGGTTTATTTGCTGAATTTTATTTGCCTAAAAACGTTGAAGAAGTTCTGATGTCCATCACGATAAATCAATGCGTATTTACATGCCTCGTATGTTTCATTAAGTGCCTTCATTTGTTGATGATGCCCTCCTTCCGATAGATGAATTTAGACAGTTTTTAAATAGTGAACTGTATTGAACGGTTACAAATAAATCTCAGGACAGAAGAACGCTTGTGACTGGCGCGTATCAGGGCTACAGAGAGCAAGAGAGTCATGTGGCAAGTGACTGCTTCCTTTCAGAACAACGGCAATAATTATAAAAAAAATCATGGCATGAAGATGGATTCATTATGAAATATTTGTATGACATTCTTGATAATTGAAAATCACTCGTCAGAAATAAAACTGAGAGAATTGTTTCACTTATGAGCATTTATTTGTGGTAGGAATTTACATTTCGACGCGATCCTTGACCTCATTTCCATTCGGTCCTTACTAGCCCAGCAGACAGCGGGCTCAGTTACATCAATGAAAAAAATTCGGACGAACACCTATTGTAAAAAAAAGTTGTTTTAAGTACCGTCAAATTAACATGAATCCAAATCTCATCTACATTGAAAACTTATTTAGGAAGAATGCTCACTTAATGAACATGAAATTGCAAATAGTAAAAATAATAATGAGCTCACAAAATAAGCGTTACTGCCTCAGAGCAGCGCACCAGATTATGCATTTATTTCTTAATAAGGAGTTAGCACTCGGCTGATTTACAAGTACGCCACACAGCCTTTGTCGTCGAGCTCGTTAAAATGCCTACGGAAAGTTATTAGCTTGGAAGAGAACCTGTTGTGCTGAGGGCCTGTTAAGAGGATACTGGCTGCTTAGAGGATACTTACTTAAAAAAACAGATCAATAAAAATCTGAAACGTTCAAGGAAATTACTCTAATATACGAGAAGTATTAAAACAAAGAATAACATCATCTTTGATGATGCGCATATAAATTTGTCTATCATAGGGTGCGATTTCACACAAAATAAAGAACGCATTGTATTCCAGACTATCAAATTTTTCGTTTGGAAACGCATTGATGTAGTATAACCATACTATAAGCCATGTTCATTCAAGACGAGAAAGAAGGTCATAAAACGCACAGTAAAACAGCGACTGTGCATATCACACACCACCTTCCCGGACTGCTAAAATGACACTGAGCTCAAGCTAGTGAGTTAAGTGATAGTTGGCAACAACGCGCGACCAGCGACTGCAATGCCGTTCGTTCAATTGAGATTAGCAGCTGTGACTTTCTGACTCGTTATCTTCTCTGGCTGCTACACTGGTTCTTTGGTAGTCTAATGGCCTCATTACTTGTTTATTCCATTCACTATCATGTAAGTCAGGTTTCATTTTGTGACAGTCCTGGGAAATATTAGTCCTGGTTGTTACACGAGATCTGCAATTACAAGTAAGCATCAACGTTTTTTCATTTTTCAATTCGAGACATATAGGACGAGCAGATCTTAACAGCTGTTTCCCGATTAGTGATTGAAATCAAGAAAATGTTTGACTGTCCTTGTAAAATTCCGAGATGAAACGTTCCGAAAAAAAGCTTTGCAAATATTCGTAATTAGCATTTTTATGGCAAGATATGAAGTGAAATGCAAGTTAATTATTTTTATCCTCTCAGGGGGGGGGGACGTCTGACGCGTGTCTGAGCTCGTAAGAAGTCCTATGGCTTTTCGCGCTCCCAGGGGGATTGTTCCTGAGCGCCCCACCGCTGAGCTCGCGGTGTTTGACTGCAGGTCTCAGTTGTGGGGTTATTAGTCTACGTGGAAAAAGACTTGGGAGTTAATGTCGATAGGGAGCTGAAATTTTATAGTAATATTGAAACGCCAGTTAATAAATAGAACAAACTTCTTGGACTGATCAGACGCTCCTACGAGTTTTTAGATGCAGAAACTATGAAGCAGTTGGTTGTCGCTGTCCTGCACCCGAACATAGAGTTTGGAGGAGCTATTTGGTCACTGGTCACCGAAACTTGAAAAGGACGAAATGCAGGAAAGTGTTTAAATACGTGAAACATGGATAATTACAGGCTAGAAGTGCAAATCTTACGAAGAAAGATTCAAGATTATGAAGATTCCAAGCCTCTGTCATCGACGTCTGCGAGGTGACCTCATCGAAGTATACAAGTATACATATGGTTTATACAAGGTCCCAAATAGATTACTGGAATTTGAAATAAGAACCAACACCAGGGGCCACGGCCATAAATTAAAAAAATTGAATTGCAACGCGACAACACGAACACAACGCGACAACACTGCTGCAACAACAGGGCCATCCGGGATACATGCAGGTAATTTATTACAAATGCCCTACAATTCTATCAAATAATTTCTTGTTTATCTGGATTTGAGAGCAGTAGTAATAAGTAATTGTAAATTTCAAATATAACGTTGTCACTCTAATTTCATTTCGGAATACGGACGGGTTGTATATTAAATATTCAATCCTGGATTCCTGGTATTCGAATATTACGCGCCTTTCGGCAAGAGGAAGAGGTAATGTTGCCTTCACTGCTTGACATCGGTTGTAGACAGATAGTTACTACTATAACAGTCTATAAGTATAATTCATAAACATTTTGTTCTGTAAACAGCACATGTAAATAAATAATTTTAATGTAAAAACCCTTTACAAGGCCGGTGAACCAGTAGGTAGGTACCTGACTACCTGGTACGTATATGCCCACACGGGCGGACAGCCGGACACGGCCACACCACACTCCACAGGCTGTGTTGGTGACTTGCTGTAGCTTCAATGCTTCACCTTTCTAATTAATCCAGAAGTTCTTTCGTTTCATGGTTGATATGATGATAACACTATCAATGAATTATTCAGTTTTATTTTAAAATTGAATAATATGTAGCTTGGGGCCATGGTGGCAATCCATAGGTTATTCAAAAGAACCTGTTCTTATGTCATTTTGAACCGATCAACGCTTCTTTACGGACCGATCGTAAAACACCTTCACCGGCAAAAGCGGTATTATTGCAGATTAACTACATCCAAAAAAAAGGGTGTTTTTTTTTTTAATTATATGTTTTTTGGGGCTGTCTCTTATACACATCTAGATGTGTATAAGAGACAGGTTTGGTTCTAGCCCTGAATTTGCGTTTCACGTTTGTTGGGGTTACGTAACTTACGTTACCCACTCACCTTTATTTACTAACATGGGGGTTACGTAANCTTCGAAACTGTACATATTTTAAAATTGAGTTGTTATGAGACCATAACTGAGAAAATGTTGCTCAATGGGTTAGTCCAGTCGTAAATGAGACTTTCGTTATTCCCTTCCTACCCCCCCGCTGAGCCGGACCGGGCGATGCTCTTGCAAACGCATAAGTACTCACAATAATTCCCTGCCACCATGCTTGGGGCCCTTCGCCTTTGGGCAATCATGCAATGGGCACAGCAATCATAATAGGTAGTACCAGAGAGGCAGAGACTCAGAGAGAATGAAGTCTCAAGAAAGGAAGGACCTAGAAAAAGTTAATTTAAATAATACTAAGAAATAATTTATGTTTGATTGACTTGATTTGATTGCATTTATTAAATGTGCATTCTCAATTTCTCAATCAAACAATTATCTTTCAATGTACCTGAATTGTTGCTGGTGTTGCAAGGTCTATTCAATCTAATACAAATCATAGAACTGGCTACAATTTATTTGAATGGTATTGATACATTCAATACAGTAGGGCAAACGCGGTATATTCCGACACAGACACATTAAGGACGCATCGAGAAATGAAAAACTATAAAAAAACGTATGCGTTACGTAAGTTCTGTTGCCTTCACGCGACTCTCAAAACACTTCACTACGTGTCAGCAACAATGAAACGTCACAAAATGTTGCCATATTTATTAAAAAGCCTTTAGAATGGAAACCTACCAAATCCCTATATTCTGACACGTGGTGAGTCGTATTGCGTCAGCGCTTCAAATTTAACTGATACGTAATGCCGACATCCACGTGTTTGAATTCCGTTTGCTGTGTGACATAGCTAGTGGCAAAGCAGAGAGTTTTTTAGACTCTGTCTCAAGTTCATTTTTGAGTCCTATAAGTAAACCAGTAAAGTATCATGGATACCAGCATTAGCTTACTTAAGAAATTGGTTAAAATCTTGAGTAAATGAGGAAATTAAAAATGAACTGATTCTAAAAAATCTCTGGTTTGTCACTATGGATACCAGAATTATCATACATAAGAAATCTGTTAAAATCTTGAGTAAATGAGGAAATTAAAAATGAACTGATTCTAAAAAATCTCTGGTTTGTCACTATGTCAGACACTATACAGCTCACACAGTGTGTGAGCTGTATTGGGATACAACACGGCTTTGAATTAGAACACTAACGAATATTGAACACTACTTAATTAGGTTTTAATTAACAGCTATTAGGCTTTTAATTAAGCAAATTTCAATTTTTGTACAAAGCTTGGAATGATCTGTGTGTGTCCAATTCAAGTTGTGTTGGAATTAGTTTTGATGGGTCTAAATCCATCACTCAACTTAATCATCTAATAATTTATTTACAACTTGAAATCAGCAACTACAATTTTACTTAAAGGATTCCTAATATATTCACAGACGTATTTAAAAGTCTCAAACCATAATATTCTTCCTATAAAAACAGGTATTCACTATTTGGTAGAGCAAGGTCAACTGTCAAATTTGACACATTTTTTGATGATCTCACCAGGTGGCATGCATTGTCTCTCTTTGGATCTCAATAATTTCCCACTAGATAGATGGCCAAGACCCAGTGTTTTTGCAGTACCTATTTCGACACGCAAATGTATGACGTCACCATTTCAACCATCAATGAACGCATGGAACTAAAACAAAGCTTAATATAAAGGAAAAACTAGAGAAGTGACGGAATTACCTACGATGTCGGAATATACCGCGTTTACCCTATATTTTATTATGATGCTGGTATTGTGAAGTAGGTACCCTGGTGCTGGAGTTAATAATTGCTCACTGCTCAGTGTTTTTCCATTTGAATCTACTTCAATGATCTAGCTGGTTATGATTTTTTTATACCTAAATTTATGATGTACAATTTATATTTCAGATTTGCTGTCTTCTTGCCTGGACAAGTGGACTAAGGTTGTTTTCAACCAATCACATTCCAGCCTGAATCCTGGAGTTGAAGCCAATTCTTGTAACTTGGAGGTGTGACTTGTGAGTACTGAGTAATAAATTTGAAGCTTGACTCATAAAAAGTTAACTTTGAATGACTATCTGTTACACTGAGTGCAAACTTGCAAATACTACCATATTCTTACATGGCAATGCCTCAGGAATATGCCAGCTTAGCAAAGTGGGCAAAATTATGGTCTCATTTTGGATGCATCCCAATCTTAATGCAATTCACTAGAAGTTACTTGCACCTAATACCCCTTTGACACTGCTACATGCAGATGATTGCATTAACATTCAAGATTATGTGAATTGATGCAAAGTTATGCTATATTTGGCATTGTGGTATTGTCAGATTCACTAAACATTGCTTTAATTTACTGAGGTTAAGCCTTTTTTTCATAAAGTTAATAATTTTTGACTACATATTTTTTATTCATTTCTATTTTTTAGCTTATGATTTGGTATTGTAGAGAACCTTGTTCAAGTTTTATATGGGCAAATATATTAGTCCCACTGGAAGATGCATGAAATAACTTAGATAAATTAATTAACAAATTTTGTACAATTATCTTTCAGTGACCCTGAATTATTGCTGGAGTTAGGTTTGTTTAATGTTACATGAATCTTAGCACCGGGAAAAATTTGTTTGAATTAAATTGAAACATTCTATAGATATTTGATTATTGGGCTGGTATTGTGAAGGAAGTGGTTTTTGTGTCTTGAATAAAATGTGAATGCAAATTGGATTAGACATCCAGGTCTTATTTAGACTACCTTGAGATGTCCTTGGAATGGATTGTTTCGTAAAATGCTTTCAATATTTTTGATTCTACAACTTATCATATTTCAAATTTCAGGAACTGGTGCTGCCATGTCTAGACGAAAAGGGCTTAGCTTGGAAGAGAAGCGCTCTAAAATGCTTGAGCTTTTCTATGAGAAGAAAGATTTTTTCATGATGAAAGAGCTTGAAAAAATAGCACCTAAAGAGAAAGGAATTATAGCACAGTCTGTAAAAGATGTTGTCCAATCATTGGTGGATGACAACATGGTTGACACTGAGAAAATAGGAACTTGTGTTTATTTCTGGGCATTCCCCAGTAAAGCTTCTATTCAGTTGAATAAGCGTGTGTCTAAACTTGAAGAGGAACTCAAAACTGCACAAGAGAAACTAATTGATTTGAAGGCAAAAACTGAAGTAGCTACTCTTCAAAGATCAGAAAACGATGAACGCTGTGAAGCTTTGTCCACCCTTGAGGTAGAGAAGCAGCGGAACGCGGCGCTCTTAGCTGAGCTGAAGCAGTATGCAGATAGCGACCCTGAGACGCTCAGAGTCCTGGAGGTGGAGACCATCACAGCGCTTGAGGCCGCCAACCGGTGGACTGATAATATCTTTACCATCAAATCCTGGTGCAAGAACAAGTTCTTTATTGAGGATGATGTAATCAATAAGCAGTTTGGAATACCAGAAGACCTTGACTATGTTGCAATCTGATGATTGATGAATGCACTTGAGGTACATTGCATATCTAATGAATTTCTGTGATAATGAGCTGTGAATTGGAGTATTCTTATGACTATATACACGTTTGTCATTGGATTTCAAGGTTGTCTGGCACATTAGACGTTTATTGTATGATGAATAGGGACATGGCATTTTTTACGCTGGTTGCACAAATAGCCATTTTTTGTCAGTTTTCACGCAGTGAAAACTAATAAAAATTTTTCATGTAAATGGAAGATAGAATCAAATTACCACAAAACCATTATATAAGTACGTACCTATTTGTTTTGATGACTTGATTTTTGAGATTCAAATTTTCTGTACAAGTGATTCATCCAATCAATTTAGACATTACATCACGAGTTTCTCCATTGCTTCTAGTAAAAAAATTATTTTAAAAATATGATGGTGGTTGATAAAGCTTTTACAATATGTTAAATATTCTAGTTGGTTAGCTTGAAGCGTGCAAGTTTCTCTTCATTCAACGTGAGCTGATCATGTGTGTTACACTGTCAAATATTTCCTTTTCATGTACTAATGTTCAGGATGCAATGCTGACTGCTCAAATTTTTAAGAAGAAAAGAAATCTCCATTGAAACTGGATTTAGATGAAATATTGATACAAAACTTTATTTTTCTATTGTTACGTATATGAAGTTTACTCGATGTACCTGATTCTTTACTGACAGCGAGCACTTTTTTGCAAAACGGTATATTATTCAAGTTATTGTATTCTGCTCAGTTAACTGATCAAGGGTAGGTTTTGTACTCAAGGGGTCGCAATGAATATGACTAAGTTAATACACTGCAGCTACTTTTGATCAAAATGTCTATTCATCACTTTATGTTTGGATTCACTCTATTGAACTAGAAGTATGCTTTGCGATAACGCTACCGCTCGATTTGTATTGTGTTCAATGTGTCATTACAAGAGTAAAAATTTATACGGTTCATCTATGCGTTTATCTGCATAATTTTATCCTTAGCAAATGAGAAGAGATGTAATGGAAGCTTGTCAAAAACCTCAATGTTGGCATTATGAATACTACTTGCAATCGAACAGAATTCGGCTTTGGGTTATGAGTGGGTTCCTCTATCTTCATTGACGTGCTGATTGGGGACAAGATTAGCTTAGTCAAATTATTTAATGTGATGCTCGTAAGTCGAAAGAATTGTTTTTTGGTATAGGTAATTTGGTCACTAGCTGCTTAGTTAAACTATAAACATGAGCTCATGAAAAATCATACATCTCTTGAAACATTTTCAGTCTCTTGTCGCACGCGAATTTTGTAAATTGCTTTAGAGATCGTACATATGATCCCCCCTCATGGTTGTCATCTGTTGTGCGTCTGTGCTCGTCAGAAGTCCCATGGGATCCCGCGTTCTAGGGGCATTGTTCCTGTGTACCCCACCACAGAGCTCACTGTTCCTGACTGCGGGTCTTAGTTTGGGGTTAAGTTATTATGTAGGTCAGATTCCTAAAATATATCCATTCTCTGTCTCTCGTGAGGGCGGCTGACGTCTCGTATAATTGACATATTTGACTGTTTTCGTTTGTATCGATTCACATGTCCCTCTTTGTTACATGTCTCATCGAGATGTTAATGCTGTGTCGTGACGAATGATCAGAGAAATTTCCATGAATTGAGATCTGCTTTGTCGGTGATGTTTATTTTCAGCATCAGGTGCGCTAGTTAACCATTCTACTTCTAACTAACTGATGATCGGATTCTCATTCATAATTCATTGAAGAAACGGCATATATATACACACCGTTTAGCTTTCTTTTCAGTTGGAAGCTTTTTGGAGCTCAACATATCGTTACACTTTCCTCTGCGATACAGGCTTATTATGTTTCTCCATTATACTTCGGCAGACCGTGTTGAAAAATAAAAACGTTCTTTCTTTTGTTCAATAACATTTGCCGACAGCATCAAATATTGTTTGTTTGTGAGTAATGGATTATCAAAGGTCTCATTTAGTGACACCTTTCAAAATGCTATCCTACAATTCTTTTTGCGGATGAGCTTGCAAGATATGTTGCCATTAAAAACTTCTCTATTATAATGACATCCCCTCAGGGGGGACTTCTGACGCGTGTCTGAGCTCGTAAGAAGTCCTATGGGATGTCGCGCTCTTAGGGGGATTGTTCCTGTGCGCCCCCACCACTGAACTCGCGGTGTCTGACTGCTGGTCTCAGTTGTGGGGTCAAGTTATTATGTAGGTAGGATTCTTCACATTAGGTTATTATGTAGGTAGGATACCTCCTTACATTAAGTTATTATGTAGGCAGGATTCCTTGCATTTCCCTTCTCTGTCTCTCTCGTGCGGGCGGCCGACGTACCGTGTAAGCGACCTCTTGTTCGAGTGTCTTAGTTTCAGTTGCTTTTCACCTGTCCCTCCTTGTCACTTCGTCTCCTTGAGATGCTAACGCTGCTTCTTTCGAGCCAGCTTCAGCGGGCTAGACAATTGAGACCTTCCGCCCCCTTGTGGGTGATGATTAACTTGAGATTTTGAATAATTGAGACCTTCCGCGGTGAAGTTCCGCCTCTTTGGCGATGTTACCGTATATTTTGACCTTCGGTGCGAAATAGCTTGATAGCTGAAGCGCTAGCAAACCATTATACTACTACTACTATTATTATGAAAGCACATGACTCGTTGTACATATATCCATTGACTTTCGACAGTCCGCAGCTGCACCAAGGATGGCAGTTCTGATTAAAGATCGTGAAAGGTCAGTGATTATGAAGCTTTCAAGTCTTTTATCGACGATTGCGTGGGGACCTCATTGAAGTATACTACTATACTCATGGTTTGTACAAAGTACCAGAAGGATTACTAGAATTTGAAACAAGAACCAACACCAGGGGTCACGGCTACAAACTAATAAAACTGCGCTGCAACTTCTCCATGCGAAAACATTTCTTCTCGCTTCGAATCACCGACATGTCGAACAGAATCCCCGATTACATAGCTGGCGCTCCGACTATGAACGCGTTCAAGAAAAGAATAGATAAAGTTATGGAAAAATATATGTTCAGACTTGAAATTCCCAGCACGAACCCGGTGGAAGTCTAGTAGCTATTTCAAACTATCGTCAGTCTTAAAAAGATCCGGTCAAAGGACATGACTTTAGATCTTCTGTGAACAAGTCACGAGAAGTACAAAAATCGGCGACAGGCCTACTCATCAGCGCCGACATCACTGTGTTATGTTATGAAGATTTGTACGGGCTCACTGGCTGTAACGCCTCAGACTGCACTGTTTAAAGAGATACGCGAGGTGGCGGGGAATCACAAGTGATGTTGCGGTTGATATCAGTGGGACCAAAATCTTGTCGTCTGTACCGATTTTATGCTAAGGAGAATTCGTACCCCATTGAACCGTTTCAAAAATGAAGCACCTATATATGTTTTTAATAACAATATATTAACTTCGCCGACGTAACTTGGTGCGGAAATGTTTTGAAGTAACCATATTTTGGAGTTACGCGCACGTAGCGGACTTATGCTGTACTTAAGCCGTTACGATCACTTAGCAATGTTTTGAAAGTACCTACCCAAGCCGGTAATCTTCAAGCACCTACCGACTGTCTCTCACTCTTTTACGTCAATTGACACATGCAGCAAAAGCAATCAGGATAGCGTTGCTTCTGCATTGAACTCAATTTGTTCTATATAAAATTGCCAGTTTATATTTGTTGATTATGAGTGGGAGGTGTGGTAAAAGTCGCGGATTACATGTTTATACTCTTTTCGTAGATGGTGGTGCTTCAATATTCTAGCTAAGTGGTACAAAGTTATTATATTCACTATTTGTGAAGAAATTACTGATCCTCTTATTTGAATGGCTTAATTATCCTGATGTACCTTTATCTACTAACCACTCAGGTGTTTCACTGTTTTAAATTTGAATTTATACTGGTTTGGCCCGAGTTCTATTCAAGTTTGAAAAGGAAGTTATGAACGATGCTAAAAAATGTGAGCTAACTGTACAGCGAGAACTTGTTGAACAGTGATTGTTAACAAATGATGTTGATACTCGGAAATTTATATGCTCTCATGCTTTTAACCGAGATAACTTTAAAACTGATTTTTAACAGTGTGGAAGTTTCAAGAAGCTCGTGCATACGGCACAAGCCTCTTATGTAAGTTTTTGTACTTTTTAAGCAATATCACCATTCAAGAGACGAGGCTCAGTATTTCGAAAATTGAAACATCTGAACCATCGCAGAAATAAATTTAAAGATTTTTATATGCATATTGGCATTTTAATGTGAGTTTTTGAATATATATTCGAAAGCGTAAAATCAAAGTTGGTCTCAAAGCCCATTTTGCTCTTAGAAAACGTATTGCTGTTCCAAACATGACCGACAACAACAGGGAGCGAAGGACAACGAAATTAATAATTAATGTGTTTAGCAGTGTGCGATCACACGAAGTGTAGCAATGTGCATGTGCTAATTATTGACATAACGTTCCTTTTATTGCAGCTTGCGCTGCTTTCTCAATTTTAATGTATTGAGGGACTATAAGAATCTCTGGCTGAAAGGAATGAAAGTGGGCTCTTTTCATTTGAGAAATTGCACTCATTCCACGCGACAGCAAATAATGTTCTAAAGATATACATTTGGTATTTCCATTCGAACAAAAACGACTATGGAATTATATTAGTTTTATTGTGATACAACCATGTTGATGGTTGGTTACCGGTATCTGAAGCGTTTCTGAATGCGCCATTGTGATACGAAAAAAGGTAAAAGGTAGGACAAATGTTTGTAAACGTACTTCATTGTGGAACGAGTGGATACACTAGAAATTTTCGTAAACACACAAGCATTATTGAATGGTGGGAGTCGTGTTTTCGAACAATCTAACAGAATACAGAGTTAAAATAGGCGTTAGAAATACGGCAACCTAAAACTCGAATTAGTATATACAACTATTTTGATAAATATTTCCACCCGGCGTGAAATGCGAGACTGATTTATTTCATAAATATTAAAGCTAAAAAAGGATGAAAAATCTTGAAGATGATAAATAGTTAAGCTAAAAAATGATCATAAAATCTGTAAAAATGAAGCTTCTATTGGACACGACATGACTGAACACCTTGGAATATATTTACGTCTCTTGGAGTTTCACGGTGCTTATGATGGCGTCGTGTTTGCATGAGATTCCCCTCAAAATTTCTCGACAGAGTAACGCCTGCCGCCGCTCGCAAAGCGCGTCTTCAATTCCTGCGTCTAAAAATGCAATTCCACTTCGCATAGGAATTCTTATTGAGGCACTGAAGGCGTATGGAGATGAAAAAAATCCGGGGAATCCCTTAATTGCCCTGACTTCTGCTGGAAACTTCTGCAATTCTTCGACTGCGTTGCGCAAAAAGAAGCATATCTATGACGACCAAATTTTCTGTCGGATTTCATTTTATATTGCTTTCACTGGGATCTAGGGCAGCGGAAACTGGTTTAAATGCATTACGAAAAATTTTGAGAATAATGCATGTCAGAGAAGAGAAATTTTGTACCATGCTACGAACTCTGAATAATTTCACACGGAATGACAGAGTGAAGAAACACGCTAAAAACCCGTTAATTTTTATCTTTCATTGAAACTAAAATCAACATTGAAGAGGAATTTTTCTCCTCACACATATTGCACCGTAAAATTTGATGGGGACTGAAAAACATTAATAAAGAAAATTCATCACGCAGTATTTCCTAAGAAGCTAAGATAGAGGATAGTAGTATTCAACGTTCCGATAGTATTCGATAGTATTCGATAGTATTCCGAATACGATAGTATTCAACGTTCCGCGTCAAGATTCGCTGACAGGCAAGTACTGTCGTTGATGTTTGCAATCATCTGTTATTTTCGTAACTTGATTGTTTGTAAATATCAGTTTAAACACACACTAGTTACGAAAAAATAATAAATTGAGGAATTAC